TAGGTTTACGCAGTAATCGCATAATTTAAGAAAATATGGGTCTAACATTGTCTTACATTGAGAATCCATTAAGATGTTTACGGTGGCTACGATTTATAGTTTTAATGAAGTACCCGGATGTAAGACTTGCATATTTTCTGCATTTTTTGAGCAGTAAAATAAAAGGCTGCTAGAGATAAATGTTTACTATATTATTTTATTCAGTGATAAATTTATGATAAGCACACCTAATCAAAACCAGATTAACGACCAGATTCAATTATACTAATATTTGAATTAACAAACTATCCGAAGTTGATATCACATTTCGGTAATTCAGTTGGTACAGTACCTATCCGTAGAAAGGCACTCACGAATTCGATTGTCAGCCAGCGTGCAGGTTTCATATTCTCGTTCGTATTTCTTGTTAGACGATTTGTAAAAGAATACATTATTCTGCAATCAAGAGCGTAATATATTGCGCAAAACACATTTTGTTAATTTCAGCAAATGTGCTTTTAAACATTATGAATCAAGTATTATTATAAAAGTATGTAATAAATTATAACAATAATGCGTTACTTTTAAAAATTTGTAAAATGTCCTTATGCGCTTTTAAGTCTGTCAGTTTTTACGCTAATACTTTGTAATATTTCGAAATGTAAACTAAAAATATGTCATGCAACATTTCTAGTGACTCGGATTTTATCAATAACCACGTTTAATATTATGCCAGCTTGCTGTAATGTGACGCGAAAGAATAAACAGAATGAATCTGAACTTGTTTACAGTGAGAAAGATGTAAATTTTTATGATTTGCTTGGACAGATATTCGCAAATGAATTGAATTATTATATAAGGTATTTCTCCCGTTTTCTTAGCATGTCTTGGTAGTGTAGTGGTCAGCACGCTCGGCGCGTGTTTCAGAGGTCCGTGGTTCGCGTCCCGGCGAAGGCGTTGCTCATTTTTCATCTCTCTGCTTCTAAAAAATCCTATTTACTCTATATTTAAACAAAAAATAAATTGTCTAAATAACTTGATTTTATATTTAAGAAAAACAAATAATAAAGATATTTCTATGTTAGTCAGTTACAAAGTAGTTAGTTACGAGAAGCTTTTCTCCAATAACGCTTAAATTTCGACTTTCATTGCTGCAAGATATATTTTCCAGGTAAAGTTCAAATTGTGACAGAATAGCGCCAAAAGTACAAAATCACATCACTTAAACAATATTGCCGCCCACCTGCTCAATTAATGTACGAAAATTTTAACGATCTGTCTTAGGGGGCTTCATTGTCGGCACGTACCTTTCTTCGAGATGAATGCAAATTAACGTTATTAATGCAAACGGAAAGTGCTGCCAAAGAAAGAAAAAATGAGCGCATCATTTGCACTTGCTGCAGATATCCAATATCCACAAAAGATCCCAATTTTTATTTTCTCATTAGTCGTCAGCGGCGCGTGTGGGCTGGTATGTAAATCCACGCCCTACAGCGGTAACCGCGGAATTAATAATGAGGAGGTACGAGAGATTAAGGGGCTCCTTTCTTCGGTGCCAGTGTCACTTGCCGAACTTGGATATTTATAGAAGACGATATTTTGAAAATGGGAGAATCCTTCGCAACGTACGGTGGGGAGTTAAAGGGATGGGGTCCATTATACTGGAGTCGCAATTATCCCCTAGGACGTTCGGTAAATCACAGAATAATCGCCTAATGGGATGATAGGAAGTTGATGACGTCGTTGGACAAAACGTGACGCAAAGTGAAGTGGTTTGAGTGCTCAACCATAAAAGAAGTACGAGCATTCCTAGGAAATCTGAAATAATAAATAACACCTACAGCAATAATAAGCATGAAGCATGACTTTTATACAGAAAATGCTTGCACCTTAGCGCAAATAAAGGAAATAGATTTACGCTTTTGAGGATACGTTTTCGATTAAATTCAAAGATTACTTTCAAATTTTCCATTCGCATTTTAAATTAAGATTATATATCTGCGAAAAAATATATTTTTTCTTAATATGCATTGATCTATGTTCCTGGCACAAAGAGTAAAACATAAAACAGATGCAAACAATTACATATAAATAGTGGCTAAGTATTCATAAAAATATTTCAGAGAAAGCATTTCTTATATAGCAATTCAGCGTTAGTCTTTCACTAGTAACGAGAATGTTATTACATTTCGTAATTAATATGCAGACTGTGCGCTTAATTTTAATGCGTGATAAAAGATTTTATTGCAAAAGAGACTACTGCGGAGCGATCCAAAAATGTAAATATGAGATTATTTATTGAAAAACATAAAATACGTTTTCGTAAAGTGCAGAATAAATTCGAGAATTCGTTCTGAATACACAAATTGAATAACTCATCAATATTATAAGAGTAGAAAAACAGCTTCTAGCTTTCACAAACATCGCTAAAGTTTTAACCATCGTAATAATGTAAGCTAAAATATGTATTAATATTCTTTTTCAATTTTTACTTTTTTGTACCAAGTAAAGGGACTATTGTTATCGCGACAAGTTTCGGGCATCATATTTCAATGGGAATATCACATATGACCGCTCCCAAATCTATTTGGGCGATTTTAATTCTTGAAGTCTGTACAAACTAGAGGCAGTATTGTAATCGGGAAAATTTTTGAATATCATATTTCAACCAAAATATCGATTTTGACAGCTCTCAAATCCATTTAAATTTTCTTTTTCATGACATCTGTACATATGGGCAAAATAAAGGACTCATTTTTTAAAAACATATTGTAAAAGGGAATTAAAGTGGATTCAAAAGAGATTTTTTTTCGTGACTTCTGTACGAACGTACGCACATACCTACATATGTATGTATCTAAAACTATCAACCGTAGAACGTTGAAATTTTGTATATGAGACTGTTATAACATATTATAACATCTTATTGTGCACCTCCCTTTTCCACTGCAATCGGCAGCACCAAATATATATATATTCCCATCATGTTACCCGTCTCGGTGAGCTCTGTTTTTATTCTTATATGTATGTAATTAGTGCAAATTTTTTTATAAAACTGGTTGCTTTGTTCTTATATTCGGGTAAGTTTTATATGCCTTTAGTTAACTTGCGTGCAATACTTGCGGAATTATGAACAATTTAAAAGTTTAAGTAGCGCTAGTCCTAACGATGCCGCTATTTATTTACATTTGAAACTCTTAGTAGAAAAGTGAATTAAGTCACTTAGTACACCAACTTCAGAGGCTTTTTACACGCTGGGACAAAACGTTAATTGCTTCTTTTGGTATAGAATTTCTAATTTTAATTTTAATTCTAATTTTCCTTTATTTGTTTTTAACTGTTGCTGGTGTTACGTTTTTCAGTATTTTATAGTTTTTAATGAAGATGTTTTGAGTTTGCATTGTATTTTTGCCTTGGCACGAATTGAGAACTAGACTGATTGAATGAGAAATAGATGTATAATGAAAGTTGAGGAAACAAATTTAAATGAAGTGCAACAAAAAATGTATATAATTTAATAGACCGTACAAGGAAGTCATGTGCCGTCAACACCAAATATTTTCTTCACGTCTGCACGTACGTAGATATATATGTATCTCGCATAACTCGAAAACGATTAGCCTTAGAACATTGAAATTTTGCATATGAGACTGCTACAATATCGAGCTGTGCACACCGATTGCAATATAAAATGGGGGTGTAGAGTTAGATGTTATAGCAGTCTCATATACAAAATTTCAACGTTGTACGGCTAATCGCTTTTGAGTTATGCAAGATAGATACATACATACATACGTACAGACGACACAAAAGAAATCACTTTTACCGTCCGGTACGAAAAGGAAAATCCGTAGGTACAGACGTCACGCAAAAGAATTGTCCGCATGGTTAGGGAAACCGTAAAAAGTTATATTTCCGTTGAATATCATACCCAAAATTACTGGTACTGGGTAGCTAGAGATCACATGATACTTTCTTCTTAGCATTTTAAATTTTTGTTGTGAAATTCTAATTCTGCTACTGAATTTTATCCATATGTATATGCGTTGTATTTTATTTGTATCTTATCGTTTAAGGACAAGTTTTCAAAGGTGTTTTGTGCATTGAAAATGATAAAAAAAATTAATAAATAAAGTTACTGAAATTTTACAGAGGACAGTCATCCGTTTTGAGAGGAGAACTTGCTTTTCGAACACAGTATACCAGAAACGTGCATAGTTATCACCGTGAAACGTTCGAAACAACATCTAAAACTTCTCACGTCTGTCTGACGATATTAGAGGCCACAGATCACGTGTTTCCCTAACACCGTTAAGATACATCCTCTTTTCTCTTCATCAGTATGTCGGCTGAGGAGAATGGGCGAGAATGGGAATGTGATGATCTTCTCTCATCCGTAGACGACCGAAAACCCCCAATTTGACCGCTCTCTGGGGGATGAGAAAAGGGCGGATGATAGAGCCTGACTTTCTGCTGATTTTTACTTCTTTTTTGCTTGTGTTTTCATCCGCTTTTCATTCATTTACTTCTAACTTTTCTTTTTCTTTTTTATATTTCTGTTGGCTGAGCCTTCCGCTTCCTTTAACCGGAAATCCAGCGAATAACATGCGGCTCTTCCGATAACTTCGGAAACTATTTCTTCATCTCCTTGATCCGTAACCGCAGCGCTCGCTGCTCTTTGAAGGTGTTGTTTTTTGCACAAGCTGGATGACTTCCGACTGGATGAAATAAACCTCAAGAAAGTTGTGATTTATCACATGATAGTTTTAGGATGAAAGGAAAAAGAAATTACTTGAAGACGAACTGTGAAAATCACCTTTAATGAGGATATTAAATTTGCGAATATTTAATTGTAATCTAATCATTGGGTTATCAATAAAACCGTATCAGAATTGTAGTGTGAGCTATTAATTAACTTTGCAGATCAGAATAATTTGCCAAATTTCATTATTTTAGAGAAAAATTACAAGAACAAGCCATATTTTTTCAAAATTTAACACAAATAAGGCAATATACATTACCTTAGATTTGCGAATTTTTCTCAGATTTCAATTTCATGTTCCGGAACGTTTACTGTATTTCTGCTGTCCAACCATATACTATGTGAAACATAAAAAATGTATTATTATTTATGTGGTACATAAATACAGCATAGCGTACATGATAAAATGTATAGTACAGCTCAAGACAACGATTATAAGTTTACTATGTCATATTCCCAATTTTTTAGATTTTGAAAGACTATTTCAAGTTTAGCTAAAGAGCATTTTGTTAAAATATTCCCTTTTCTCTCCAAAAAAAACGTAAAGGTAAAATTCGTACTATGGAAAGAATATAAATATATTTTTTGCCTTTTGGATTCTTATGTTTTTTTTTAATTTTGATCTTAAGCTATATATACTTTTAATGCATTTAATTCCTTTATTTCAATGATTTCTTCAGTTTATTTTGAGTCGTTTTTTGTAAATGACATCTGAAGCCGTTTCTTTAGTTTCGTTTGGATATTTGAGTCATCACCGGATACATCTTTCGCATTTCCTCAATATAAATTACTTCTGCTTTTAATTAAGATAGTCTTATTCTTTTTTGAAGTACTTCAATTCATCTGAAAATCACTTATCCTCCTTTTTTAAAACCAATCCTTCTTTGCGGTTATATTGTCAAGAATGATGATTTTTAGATTACGGTTTAGAATTCCAGAAAAGGTTTTTCATGAAAAAGCTTTCTTTTGTTGCGAACTCAGACGTTTTCTGGCTTTTTATTGCATTCCTTATTTTTTCCTGCTTCTATCTTTTGCAAAAACTGCAGTCACTGGAATTTTTAATTGCATTCAACGATTTATACTAGTTTAACGTTTTAAACGCGAGTGCTCTGGTGAATATAAGATCAAAGGCTTTTAAATTGAAGAACAAAAACACTTAACAAGAAAAAACTCTTCACGATTGAAGAAAGTTAGGCTCTGATTATTAAAAAACAATACATTTGAGATTAAAGACCACAGCAATATAATGAAGAACATTTATGTGTATATGTAAAGTGTCTCAGTACCAGGATTACAGATTTATAGGTGGCGTAGAACGTACTCAAACAGCTAGGAATCAAATAGTAATGCAAGATCCAAAATGCTTTTCTCACATAATAGATAGTGTTGGTTTGAGGGTTCTCATTGAGAAACTCCATGCAACACATGGATGTAAGTGTGGGTATCATACGAAGCCCATTTAGCCGATGGGGATCTTGTATACGGGGAGGGAAGTGTAAGGGACGAACTGCAGAATAGATGTCCGAGGAATATTATCCGATGAAGCATACTCCCAATCAGATACACTGCATGACAGGTTAGCTAAAATGTTTTCCTGTAAACAGTTGAAATGTTTTGGGAAATATTCACGTAGCATAGTTTTTCGAATATCGAGAAGACTATGCTACGTCATGTACCAAGCTAGATTATGTGAGATGTAAAGAAAGATATCGGGCTTTCCGCTGAGTAAAAAATTATGAGAGAAAATGAAATGCATCTGTCATGTGCCGCGAATCTAGGTGCTTTGATTATGCCCCGCGGATTGCTATTGCGCAATATTTTCTTCAAGTGTGTTACAAAACTCCATTTTACATGTTGCTGTTTTGCTCACTATAAATCTTATTTTAAAAGAAAGGAATATTAAGTTCACATTAATCTATGCAACACGACGGCTTGCAGCACAGGATCGTTTTTAGCAATAAATATTTAAGCCAACATACTGGCAGATCAACTCATCGGATGACTGGGAAAAATTACTTGATCTCTGTAGAACATGTGCTTTCATAGCTTTTAAATAATGTACAGTATTAAGCATTAATGAGAACTTCATTGTGGTAAACAGTAGATCGAATGTGGTTTTATCCTTTTTCAACTCCGGGCATATGACGAATTGGTTACTTCCTCTTGGATGCACACGAAAGTATCAATGTATGTCATGCCCAATAACAACGTCAAGAAACTGATTGCACACATTGCAGCTACAGGAGAGTTCAAGACATAGTTTCCCCGAAAGCTCGAAATACCATACCCAGAAGTTGCAGACCCTGCATTATAGACACTTAGGCAAGACACATTCTTTGACATCTGTTACTTTTAAAGGTATATGTTTTATTAAAATGCATACTCACTTGCATGGTATCCTTTCATTTCTAATGTTTCATGTCTACTAACCGTGTGTTCAAGTGATTTCCGACCTTAGATTTCTACGTCACTTAGAGTCGTATGGGTGAGCAAATTTGTATCTGAGACGCCATATATACATTATTACATAAATACCCACTCATACATACATATATATAGTAAGGTTTATGTATGTTAATAACCCGTTATTACATGTTACGAATCTGTACTGTCAATTCTCCCTTTTCCTTTTGCTGGTAGAATGCAAATTAGATAATCTGTATTTAAGTATGATTTTGAGACTGTTTTAGAAAGGCCGCCTACGGTCTGCTGAAAAGCATGTTACTGGCTGTTATTCTATGACAGGAATTACTGTTACGGCGTTGCTTTCTTGCTAATACACTGCTGCCATGACGGTTTAGGTTAAGGGCCAACTTCCGCATTTATATATCTTTGCGTAGCCTTTGGCTAATAGATATTTAGATTTAGTTCAATTTAATATACTACGTTTGAATTTAGGACCTGTCTGATTTATAAGCACCTGATATGCCTTCTGTACAATTACTTAGTTTTTATTTAGTTTTATATAAAAGGGTCTTTGATACATCCTTCATACGTTTCTGTTTGGAGTCTAAGTGCGAGTCTTGATTCAGTGTTTGTTAACCAATACATGTGAGTCTTTGCAATATATATAAATATATATATCTGTGTGTGTGTGTGTGTAAAAAATAAAGAATATCTAAGGAGATTAAATTAGGAGCTTTTAAATGCTCTTCCGTATTCTAAAAATAGTAACTTTTATTTGCACGGCGTCATTTCGAGAGTGATCTATGTCATATAATTCTTACGTAATTCTGATGATGTAAATGGAACTAAAGTTCAAAACAGCCAATAGTAATTTTACGGCAATATTAACTATCCAATCAAAATACATTGAGAATCCAAATTTACTCAATCTGAATTAAAATTTCACCCCGAACATAAAGCACTTGCTTTCTATGCTTTGGCACAGCTGCACTGCAGTTTGTCTCCTCCTCCTTTCTTACAGCAAATTTATCTAAAATGAAATTTTTTTTGGGATAGACACAATTAATGTGTCAACTTGATTGTGGCTGCAACATGTTACTGATATAAAAGTTGAATTAAATATACCTCGACTTCTTACTTCTTTATTCATTGTGGACCGGCCTTTCAACATTGTACGACATCAAAATTCTCTCTGCTCATAACGGATTTAACCGCCTGCGTTCTACTGTAGAATCAGTCGACTTTCACCGGTGAATGTCAACATTCACATAGTCTCTTGGTGTATGTCCGAAATATTTTCCAAATACTCCTATTTCTGACTTACACCGGTCAATGTCCACATTCACCATGTACTAATGGTGAATGTTGAACATATAACAATATTATATTTTCTTCTCCGTAATTCAGTCGCGAATAAACGCACCTGAAACTTGAAATAAGAACTTAAGAACATGAAAACCTAAAACACACCATACATTCAAAATGAGAAAGGAAAATAATAGAAGTTAAAAACTTACTTAATTATACAGTACATTCTAAATGAGAAAATAAAATAACAGTAATAAAAAGCTTACTAAATTATGTGATTCAAATTTGGTGATTTCAAATTTTGATTTCATATTTGGTGAATGTTGATATACTCCGGTGAACGTCGACATTCTCCAATTTCGGTCTTTCACGGTAACATATATACTACATGTGTCATATTTCTCATACGTTTATTACCGATGCATATGTTGTTTCGTATATAGTGATATTTATTTTATTATTATAATGGAAAATAAAGTGCAGATCTTGGAAAAACTTTGATTTTTAGTTAATGTTTTTACGTTGCTTAAAACCGTACGTTGCTTGCGCAGAAATAATATTGCTTTATGCAGACCATATATTTATCTATTCATGTGCATTGTATCATGTGTACAAGCACATAATAATGGAATGAAGCTTTCAAATAATACACTCACGTCCATAAATTAAGGATAATTAGGAGTCACGCGGAAATCGAACTCTAAAATAAATATATCACCTGTAAAATCACTACACACATCTTCAAGAATCATATGCAAATTTCAGGAAGTAACCAGATGACACCGATGGTACGTCACAATGACGAGAGTGTAAGAGAGAGATATTTAAGGAATACAGGCAAAGAAGTAAAATTTTTCGCAAGCGCTTTATAAGCATTTCAGTGCAATAACCGAATAGTTATGACACAAAGGATGCATTTGGATGATTTTTTACGTGGTAGAATTATCGGCCGTCTGGAATGTGGGCGTACCCAACTGGAAGTATCAGACGAACTTGGAATTGCCCAGAGTGTCATCTCCAGGCTTTGGCAACGATTCCAAGATGATGGTAATGTGAGTAGACGTTACAGCACAGGTCGCCCCAGAGTTACAACGCCGAATGAGGACCGGTATTTGGCAGTTACTGCCGGAGCACAACCTCAGACCTGTCTCGTCAGCTCTCTTCAGCCACTGGTACGACAATTTAAAGGCAGATCGTGTACAGACGCTTAGGGTAGATTGGTCTATATGCTCGTAGACCTGTCAGATGCGTTCCACGTACTGCAACTCACTGTCGCCTGCGGTTAGCCTGGAGTAGAGAGCATGCACTGTGGACACCGCAACAGTGGGCTTGTGTGATGTTTTCCGACGAGTCCAGGTTTAGCTTCCAGTCTGATTCTCGCCGGACCTTTATATGGAGAGCTTCAGGTACCCGTTACCACCAAGAAAACATCATTGAACGACACCGTTACGGTGGTGCAGGAGTGCACGTTTGGGGTGGAATTATTTTGGGATCCAGAAACTGACCTGCATATTCAAATTGGAACCATGACAAGCCAAATCTATCGGGATGTCATTCTGGAACAACATGTACGTTTAATTTCGGGGCGCCATGGGCGCTCAGTTTGTGCTTATGGATGACAAC